TTTTTTAACCTGTACATGGCCAACTTACAGAATGGCAAATTTGATTGTAATTACTTACAGTATGCCGATGATACGTCCTTATATCAGCACTCCAAGGTTAAAAATTTGAGCAAATGTGTAGATGATATGCAGAAAGAACTGGACCGTGCGAATAGCTGGTCTAAGAATTCGAACTTGCTAATGAATCCTACGAAGACAAAAACGATGGTCTTTTCAACAGCCCAGATGTCCACAACTCATAACCTGGCTTCGTTGGAGCTTGTCTCGATGGATATCAATCATCAAAACATCGAACGAACAAAGTCATGGAGGGTTTTGGGTATAAAGCTTAACGAACACCTTAAATGGAACCTTCATTTAAACGAAGTTATAAGATCGTGTTATGCTGTTTTGGCTGACTTGCGACGGTTAAAGAGATTCACAACATTTCGTTTAAGAAAACAATTGACTGAATTGCTAGTATTGTCAAAATTGGACTATTGCAACTGTCTATACGGGTCATTTCCTGCATACCTTTTAAAACGGCTGCAAAAGGTTCAAAACTCGGCTTCTGGTTTTGTTAATGGCATGTATTCTAAAGCTGGAGATGTGGTTTCAATTGGTTGGGTACTAATTAAAGAAAGAATCGATTACAGTATTGCTAAACTTGCATTTCAAGCTCTTAACGACGAAAGATGGCCAGGTTATTTAACACTAGAAGTAAAAGAAGTTACTAGAGTTTTGAGAAGTAACAGTGATGGTACTTTAAGACTCAAACACTCTTACATCGAAGATACTTTTCAGTATAATGCTGCAAAAGTTTTTAATGATATTTCTGATGATTTTAAATGTATGGATTTTAAAAACGTTAAAATTTCCTTAAAGAAACTTTTACTAGATCGTAGTAAGGAAAGACTAAATTTAGACTGATAACTTTTAAATTATTTTAACTGTTTGGAGATTTTCAAATGCTCCATTGTATAGTGACATAGATGTAAGTAGTTTGTATTTTAATAGTGTGGCCAGGTTGAATAAACTGTAGAGAGACTCAGAGACACCTTAATAGTTATTGTTAGTTAACTTTCTGTTACGTCATGAACACGCCATGCTGCCAATGCAGTTAAAAAATATAAAAGCGATTTCAAAAGATATTATTCAGTATTTTATTGTCAAAGAAACATTTATATCGAAGAAAAGAACAACAATAAAAGGGAATTAACATTCTCGGGCAGTTGCCCGGTAAGTTAACGTTATTATCCGGTAATTATAGAAGTATTGCTGTCTTATAATCATGTTAAAAGTATAAAAATATACGCATGAATATATTAATCGTAATAGCTATTGAAGTATGGTCATTTTGAGTAATTTATGTAAATAGTTCTTTAGAACGGTGCATGATTTATCTTAAGTTTGACATTATAGACGGAGATATTTATGGTTTCATCAACTTTTGGGAGATATATTACTTTGTATTTGATAAATCGGCATGTTTATTGTAGGATACAGGAAGTGTGTATTTTAATATTTTGTTTACTTAGTTATATTGCATTAACTTTTATAGCTTGTAACCATCGCCCTCGTATTTTGGGGTACATGTTCAAAATAAAAGAAAATTATAAACAGTTTTCACGAATCTATTATGTCCCGGTCACATTTGGCGTAGTCGGCAGGATTATTTTGAACATTCGTGCAGTAAAATATTAGAATACTATGTCTGATGAGGAGCAAAACGTGGGCGGCGATGTTGCTGGGGCAGCGGCCCAAGACGGTGAGGAAAACTTTTTATTGGAAACCATATTGGCTGAAATTGAAAAGTTAAAAAATGAGAATAAACAGACAAAACAAGCACTTTCAGCAGTAACTGTTTGCCAGGGCGAAGCTAGTACTTCAAGTAAAAATGCACCATCTAGTCCAGCACAGACACCTCAAGTTGTGTATGTTTCCCGAGAGCGTAAATACAAAAGTTTTCTGGTAGTCGAAAGGCAGATGAAGATACAGTGGAGAATTTTGTTGACAATGTGAAAAGTTTGATATCAGCTAGGAAAATGACCCAAATTGAACAAACAGACTTTGTGTTATCACTGTTGGAATCATCCGCGAAGGAAGAAGTCAAATTGCGCCCTACAGCCGAACGTGACACTTGGCGAGCGGAGAACCACACCACAGTTACTAAAGTCATTCTACGAACGAAAGCAAAAGGATACAGAAACCCTGAGGAAGTTCTCGCATGCGCTGTGTGAGATTTACCACCGAATTTATTCGCGAGACACCACCGACTGTAAAGCGATTGAGTCGGCCCACTGACACCAGACTGTAAAGCGATTGAGGAGCATTTGCTCTTCTTTTTCTTGGCCGCTAACAACAGCCGCGTCGTCTGCAAACTTGAACCAATGAATGCCGTTTTCGCTGGATTTTTAAAATCCAAGTTGACGTTATTTTTCCGATTTAATATTTTGAATAAAGGTATTGACAGACATGTTGAATAAAAGAGGACTGGAACAATTGCCTTGAAGGACTCCACGACCGACTGTAATGAAGGAAGTATTGAACTGTTCAGTTATTATGGAAGTTTGGAAATCAGTGCTACTGATAATTAAGATTCTTTATGTGATCGGGAATGTGATGATACTCGGTTATGGTGGACTTTATCGAATAAGGTTATGGTGGACTTTACCGAATGCATTTTTGAGATCTAATAGTGTTATGATAAGTGATCGTTGTTTTACTCGCGCTTTATTAATGATATGTGCCAACTGAGCTGTGTGTTCTAGTGTTGCTGAGAGTTTTGGAGTGAAACATTTCTGAATGTTCTGTTCAATGTAATTGTTTTCTGCAAGAAACTGAAATGTCTTGTTGCGAAGACATGATGTAAAAACTTTGAGTGGGACTGATTCCAGAGTAATGGGTCAAAAGTTCGCTGGGTTTGCCGTTTCTCCTTTCTTGTGAATTAGAATCGTGCATGCTTTCTTCCATTCGGACGGGACAACACCGCAAGACCAGACTGCGTGGATTATCTCAGTTAACTAGGAGCGTAAATAAGGACAGCGTTTAAAACAGATGATAGGTGTTTTTGTTTTTGCTTAAATACTTTATTGGGTAAATATAATAATTATTTACAAAGACGTACTAATACTATGCATGCACAGAACAAATATTACCCAAATGGAAGAGGTGCGAACGGAACGGAAATAATTTGCGCTATCCATGCCAAGGCACCTTTCCAACAGAATACATGTAAATATAGCTTACTATGTAAATACTAATAACAAGTTTATACAGCGAGACAATTAACTCCTTTGACAAGGACAGGCACGTGACATAGACCAAGTGCATAACAAGTTTACATCGAATACGGTCGATACTAACATAAAATAATGATTAAAGAGGTAGTATTTAAATGTTTTGACACAAGAGAATGTATTTGGTGGAGCTACTTTGCAAACACTGAGCCATAATTTCACGATCCGGTTGAAATATGAGTTCTGATATGTTGTGGTTTTACACAATGGAGTCTTGAGCAACAGGTTGGGATTACGACATAGACGGGAGTGGTTATGGGTTACAAACGGGACATAGTCATGAACATTGAGATCAGGTATTTGATCAAGTGGACATGGTGAGCCAGGCTGTTTCATTTTACGGATGACATTTGTTATCTCTTGATAGGTCGGGGGTCAAGATTAAAAGGCGTCTGGGATTTTGGGATCCAACTGGGGATATTGAATGTTTTAGTTGGGCTAATCGCGGACAACGTTTTGGTAAAATATGATGTACATTGTGCTAGGTTAAATGATGGAAATGAGCTGGTATTCTTTTTGAAAAATCGTTTAACGAAACCCCAGAATCTTTCACCAATTAGACTATCGTGATCAGTATTTGCAGACGCATGACTATTAATTAATTTATTTATTTATTATTTATTGATTGATTTATTGATTTAATGATTTACTAGCTTTGTCATAAATCACCGGTGATCCCAACAGGGCTTATTGCCCCATTCACAGGGTCCCTTAAACTAAACATTTACATCAATTACAACACATTTTATCTACAAGGCTCGACAGGGAATTAATTAACACATTTTATCTACAAGGTTCGACAGGGAATTACTTAAGTGTCTCTTGTGTCAATGTAAATTTGTGAGTTTTTGCAACCTATCCATTTTCATGCTATAAACATGTCATATATTTAGTTCCGTATCTTCCGGATCTGAAGTATTTGGAAATCCTTTCCTACATGCTATTAGTTCTGATAACAGCCGACGACGACGACGACGACAATAATAATAATAATAATAATAATAATAATAATAATAATAATAATAATAATAATAATAATAATAATAATATTAATAATAATAATAATAATAATAATAATAATAATAATAATAATAATAATAATAATAATAGTAATAATAATAATAGTAATAGTAATAATAATAATAGTAATAATAATAATAGTAATAATAATAATAATAATAATAATAATAATAATAATAATAATAATAATATAATAATAATAATAATAATAATAATAATAATAATAATAATAATAATAATAATAATAATAATAATAATAATAATAATAATAATAATAATAATAATAATAATAATAATAATAATAATAATAATAATAATAATAATAATAATAATTGACGAAGTGTTTACATGCATCCACCTGCAGTATTGACTGAGATACAGTCAAAATAATTTCTCCATAATGGTGGCAGTTACGCAATTATGTTCGCATTTATCTTAAATTTATAGAATGTCAAAGATTTGTTGATTCATGCATTAAACGACTACCAAGTTACACAAAGTGGCTATTATAACGAACTATATCACGTGAGAGCACGTGATTTGACTGACGGCAAGCAAGTACTGGCGGGTGGGGCAGTGAAACAGCACTAAAAGCTGGAGCCTACATTCAAGCAACGTTTCTTCGTCCTGTCTACGTCACAACAGTGACATTGGTCGGAGGTTCTATACCGTCTTGGGGGAGCACCGCAGAAAAAAATGGAAGCGTGACAACAAGAACTGGACAACGTCAAATGACAACAAGAACTGGACAACGGTAAAAATGTTTGAAAAATTCACAACCAAACGTGGTTAAGTACTAATGTAAAGTTTACAATTGTATGGGTATGAAGTTGCTGGACATGTTGCATACAAACACTATAATAGTTGTATGTAGATCAAATATATTACAAACACAAGTTTTTGTATGAGTGAATTCTGTGTTTCAATCATGACAAGTTGAATCAGCTGTTAGTATAAGGTGTACCATTAGACACCTGGGGTCGGTTGTACTAAAAAAAGTGAAATTACTCAGAAATTACTCAGGTAAATTCTGGTATCAGTCAAATCTGAAATCGTGCTTAATTTAGGCTCGATTATCAGCCTTTACTTCAGGGGAGCTTCCCAGAATGCCGGCTGGTAATCAAGCCTAGCCTTTGAAATTGAAAATTAATCAAGCCTAGCAATTGAAATAAATTATTGCATGATTATTGATCATATACTTATATAGCTGTAACGCGGCTGATAATTATGTTGAATTAGAATTTAGAAATCAAATTCCTATCTAACGGCATGATTGAATCCTAAAGCCTAGTTCTCATTCATCGCAAACTGTCACCGACTATCGGCGACGCTTATCGCCGATGCTCGCCGATCGCGAATGCACGAAAGTTCTCATACATCGGTGATCGTCGCAGATGACAGCCGATGTGTTTCGTAATTTCCCACCAAGGCACAAAATGACCCCATTCAACGTAAAGTTTATGATTTCTATCAAACTTCAGTTGATTATTTCGTTGCTTGTTGAGGAGAAAACAACTTTTACTCATTTATCATAGATTTTTCAAGCAGGTGGCAGTCGGCGATGATCGCAAGATTTGAATTTTGGGATAGGTAATAGGACCTCTACATGCGTCTTGGACTTGTGGTTTACTTATATTTTATAATCATTATTCATCCAATGGATTTCTTGTATTTTCAACGGGGTCTTGAAATAGACCATCCCGTGAAATATTGTGTAAAAGGTGCACGCGTGTAATGCGTGCGTTGTTTTGTGTATTTTTATGTAAATCCATTGTAGAAATATCATAATTGAAGTTAGCGTGTATTGTATGTAAAGTTATTACTTGGTAATTGATAGGTGTGATTTGATGATGCACATGAATTTATCACAGGGCCGGATTTGACCATACTGCGATATTGCAAATTAGGAATTGGTAATAGGGCTTGCAATATTTTAATTTTGGAATGGGTAATAAGACCTCTACATGTGTCTTGGACCTGTGGTTTACTTATATTCATTACACATATATATACACATATACACACATATACACATACATACACACACACATACACATATACACACATATACAAACATATTTATCTAATGGATTTCTTATATTTTCAACGGGGCCTTGAAAGTAGACCATGCCGTGAGACCC